CTGCTATGGAGTTGGGTTTTTGCTGTGTTGGTTTATTGGGAGCTTGTGTCTTTGCCTCACCACCTTTCTCTGGGGTAAGGTCAGAGATCTCTCAGCCAGCTCCCTACTGTCATTGTGTTATGCTGGTTTGCTGATTGTTTCTCAATTTTGCAGCGTTTGATTTTGGATGTTGCTTACTGTCCGCAAATGAGCTTTGTGGACCACTGTCCATCCTATTTCAGGCAGTGGCTTATCACCTGCCTGCTGTTGAACCTTCTGCCTTTCCAGTCTTTGTTTACTGAAAGTTCCTTGCCCCTACACCTTTCTCCAGTTTACTTACAGCACCGTGCCCCCTTTGTTGTGTGTTCCTTTTCAGTTCCTTGCTTATTATTCAGATTTTTTTTGCCAGGTGGGGGGTCAGTCTGCCCAGGGGGTTATGCTGGTTTATCCCAGGGGTGGCTGTGGGAATACTTATATGCTCACCTGTTGGTCTGCTGGATGTCTCCCAAGTAGGTTTGGAGCTGGTGTCTGGTGGCATGGGAGCCCTCCTGTTTTCTCAGTGTAACGTGGCATGGAGAAGCTTTGTATGGGTTGGGGGTTCAGGGTGTTGAAGTTTTGATTCTTCTTGGTGCTTTATTTGTGGCAAGTGTGGCTCCAGCGTCTCAGCAAGATTTTTGATTTACAGAGCTCATATCTGCTTTTGCACTCTAGTTGCTATCTTGGATCCACCCACAGTTTTGTTTGATATGGTCCTTTGTGTTCTTAAATGCAAATCCCTTTTCCTGTTAACTGGTTTTACAGGTAGGGAAATATAGGAGAGTTAGACCAAATATAATTAGGGAGAATGGTTAGCAGTGAGCACTACCTGTATCTTCTCCTTTTCCCTACTTGTCTTTTTATTTTTTATTTTTTGGTGTACTGGGGTTGAACTCAGGGACTTATGCTTGCCATGAGGTACCCTACCAATTGAGCCATGCCCTCAACCTTTTTGCTTTCCTTATTTTTTGAATATACCTGCGCCAGCCTGAACCGGAATCCTATTTATGCTTTTTGCCTAACTGAAATAACAAGTGTGGGCCACTGTGCCCAGCTTTTTATTGGCTGAGATAAGGTATCGAGGACTTTTTTGTCTGGGCTGGCCTTGAACTGTGATCCTCCCTATATGTATCTCCAGCATGAGCCACAATGCTTGGCTTCTCTCTTATTAGTGTATGTTAATTATACAAAGGGGTTTTATTGTTATATTTCCATACATTCATATAATAGAAGGATTTACTCCTTCTATTACTCTTTCCCTAGTTGTCATTTTAAAAACCAGTTCTTGGCAATGAACAAAATTGGTAGATCAAATTTTTTTATACTATCCTATTTAATGGATAACCTTGCTGGACCAAAGAAGGAAAGAGGGAGATAGTTGGATAATCTCTGAGGACAAGCATGGTGAGAACTCTAGGGAGGTGCAAGCTGAGGGAAAGTACATTACTCCAGAAATCCACCTTTTTGAATAGATATTATTTTTAGTTTATTTCCCTTAATGAATTAATTAGTTAATTAACTAATTTTGTGGTGTTGGGTATTGAATCCAAGGCTTTGTGCATGTAAGTCAAGTAGTCTGTCACTGAGCTACACTTCCATTCCTTAAAATTATATTATTTGACTGTTTTACCCCTGACAAGGCTATTCTTCCATAGATCCACAAACATAGAAAAAATATGTAGGCCATATTTTGTAGCTTGACAAGCAACTTTAAGACAGCTAAAAATACTTGTAATGTGTTATCAAGTTCTTTTGGACCGAGAACATGAATTGGGGAAAGGCTGTTGGGGTATTTTGTTTTCTTTTCCGTTTTGTTTATTTATTGGTTATGTCAAATATTGACCCCTATGAGAGCACACTATAATGTCTAAATAATACAACCAGAGTAATTTCAATTCTCATACAGAGAATTTAGAGAATTAATAACATTAGAGAATTAATAGACTTCTATTAGGGAATTAATAACATTAATTATTATACTTATCATACTTAGAATATGTCTACTCACAAAAACTAAATGTTCTCATTTATTTTAACTTAAATTTGAAAGTAATCAAAAGTAAAAGATAACCACTTTTGATTCCCTGAATGTAACAAAAGCACAGATTTCTATATTTCTCTTCCATTCCCCATTTCCCATTTTTTTCTCTACCTGCAGATACACTAAGGAAGGAATAGTTTTTAGTACTCTCAAAAGCAATTTTCACTTTCTTTTTTCTGTCAGTTACATCTCACTTTGAAATAGACTATTATTTTGCTTTCCTCATCAGCCAACTGGTGTCTGAACTTCCAAAAGTATGCTTATTTTGCACAGTATTGTCTGAAGTGTGCTCCAAACTCAACTCTCCCCAGGATGGAATGCTGATATCTTCTGATATCCCAAGAGTGCTGCACAGCCCCACTGTGCAGACCAACTGTGGCAAAAGAACCTTCTGTAACTGGCTGACAATGGAGATGCTACTGAGTTAAAATGGAAACCAATACTGTGGTTGTGGAGGGAGAAGGGAGATGGAACAAACTGATGTCATAACTTGAGACCCAGTTGAGGAATTTGCCTCATACAAATGGCTAAAGAATATCCAAGAAAAAAGTTATCTAAATGCTGAGTGTACTAAGCAAGAAGTAAGGCAAAAAAAAAAAAAAAAAAAAAAACCCACTGGATTAAGCAGCCAAGCAAATTAGCTCAATAGATAAATTCTCACAACCAGATAAAGTCCAGAACTTAGCACCGACTGGACCCATCCCTCCAAGGATGGCTTCTAAGTCTTCCTCATCAGTAGGCAAAAACCTCCCAAGAATTCTGTAGAAAGCATATTTTTTTAAATATCTCTTGAATCTTACAGTAATAAAACAAAATGAGCCTTCGATTTGTGGAAAGTCTGTCCAGAAAACCCTGTGTAAAATGGAAATGGGAATATGTTACAAAACTGGAAAATATGTACCTAAGCACAGGGTCTCACAGATGCCCGCTGAGCCCATGACTTCCCATCTCCAAGAACTAATTCATTTTGTTACTGCAGAGCAAATTCAGTCCTCTCTACAAGGAGCTATTCTGGAGTGAAACCAACACTCATGCAATTACAAAAAAGTATTGATTACAACCTATAAAAAGGATAGCTAGGGGCTGGATGCATGGCTCAAGTGGTAGAGCACCTGCCTAGCAAGCACAAAGCCTGGAGTTCAAACCCTAGTCCCACCAAAAAAAAAAAAATACCATATTATAGTTGTATGGGGGGATGCATTGTGACATTAACATATGTCTCCACAATATATCTTAGATTCACCCCTCCACTATTCTCCCTCATACCCCCTCCATCCCTGGATAAAAGTCGTGTATTTTTATACATGATTACAAAATACATCTACCATATTTGCCTTCCTTCACCCTCTGTGTTTATCCTCCCCTGACTGGTACCCACCCTCAACAGGACCTGTTTTACAGGACCCATTTTATCTTTCTGTACTTCATTTCTTAAGTGTATATTGATTATTCAGGGGGTTTCACCTTGGTATTTCAGGCATATGTCTATATCATGCTTTAATCAGATTAACCCCCCTATTACTTTCTCTTTGTCAACCTGCTCCCCTATTATTCAACAGTTTACAGCTTATCTTCTTACACAGATGCAATGTATTTCAATATTATTCATTTTTTATCATTCTCTTTTTCCTCTCCCACCTCCCTATAGTCTCTACAGACAGACCACTAATATAATAATGTTTGTTCTCTCTCTCTATGTGTGTATTGGTGTGTTTTTGTATGTATATATATATATTTGTATAAGATCATATGAAGGCAAGTGTTGTACCACTTGACCTATGTCTCCAGCTTTTGTTGTTTTGTTTTTGAGATAGGGTTTTGCTAACTTATCCTAGGCTGGCCTTGAACTTGTGATCCTCCTGCCTCTGCCTCTTGAACAGTTAGGATTACTGGCATTACCACCATGCTGGGTTGTAATTTTTTTATTTTATTCAAAAATATGAAAACTGACTCAAGAAATTGAGAACATCAATGCAAAGATTAACAAACCTGAAAAATTATGATTTTTGCCACCTAATTTTTCTACTTTCAAAAAGTGACTCATATCCCATGAAACAACCCCTCTTCCAAGAAAATGTTGGCTTGCTGTCTGATTTGTTCTGCAGTATAAGTAGAGGCAAAGACATGAAAAGAAATTCAGGAAACCCTAGCAAAGCATTGGTTTCTTTAATAAAGTATAATCTTAATGCTATGATGTAAATATCAAATGAGCAAAAATAAAATTGATTTTAAAATCATTGCAAGGCCAATGAGAAATTAATATAATTAACTTGAGGAGTATTTTGGCCACTTATACCAGGAATCATTAAAGTGACTATTTTGTATCCAGTAATCTCAATTTTGGATGTTTACCTGAGGGGAAGAATTTAAAGGAATAAGAATTTCATGTGTAGATCTTTAGAAATAATATATTTTCATAATAGCAGCAGAAAAACCCAGAAAAGATTTGAAGTCATGCTAAATACTCATATTTTTAGTAGTTGAAATAAAATGCATCCATGAAATATTACATATATGCAAATTAGGTAGACTCTTGGAAATTTGCTTGTTGAATAATTTTAAGTAAAACAAGAGAATGAAAGATTTAATGTAGACTATATTTATTAGTTTGTGAAAAGTGTAACTGTGAATAAAATTGTTCAATTCTTAGTGACAGTCATTATTTTAATACAAAATAGTAGGTAAATAGATAAGTTTTATCTAAGTTATTGAAATTTAAAAGTTTATATGTGTGAAGGAAAAGATACATTACAGTCTTCAGTTGGGTGTTCATGCCCTTCAACCACTGAGAGACTCAGCAGTGGCATACTTTCTTAAAATGTGTAAGACCCTGGGTTTGATCCCCATCATTACAAAACAAACAAACACAACCAACCAACCAAACAAACAAACCCTAGGAAGTAAAAATCCCCAACAGTTTACATGTTATGCTTTTATCTTACAGTGCTTGTTTCAGTTTCTGGTAAATGTTTCTCAAAGTGGAAAGCCTGGGAAGCCAAGCATCGCAGTGGTCTCTGTCAGCACCCAGCATGGATCTATCCTGCAAGTTAATGATACCTTAGAAAAGAAAGAAGTTTGTAGGTTCGTGCCTATTTGATGCGATCTAACTAAAGTCTGCATTTTCCGTCTACTTTTTTTTCTCCATGGTTTTGTTTTTCCTGTCTTGAAAATATTTTCTTTATCTTTTCTGATTTGCACCCAGGAATGCAAATCATTTTGTATTTACATTGGCAAAGTTCAACTCCTTATTTTCTGTTCTAACCATTTGTCTTAATTTTACCTCTTCTTTGTAGGCTTGAATACAAATTTGGAGAGTTTGGAAACTATTCTCTTTTGGTTAAGCACACCTATAATGGAGTCAATGAAAGTGCCTGTGACCTTGTTGTTAATAAGAATCCAGTCAACAGTAATCTTCGTATGTATATGTTCTTTGTTGATTTTTTTAAATTTGCATTTTCAAAGATCTCAGTTTCTGAGTGCTGTTGAAAAGTGAAACAGTCCATAATAAAATGTAGATTATAGATTATACCATTTAGTTATGTTATAATTCTCTTTTTTTGGTGCTGAGGATCAGACTCAAGGCCTCGCACATGCTAAGCACATACTCTACCACTGAGCCATATCCCTAGCCCCAGTTATGTTTTTATTGTGTGACAGATATATACTAAGAAAATTATGTGATGTATTAAAATTATATTACATATCAATGTATTCTAATATTAAGTTTAATTATAAATAAATAAAAAGTTAATATAGTAGAAAGAAACTAGAAATAGGGCAATTGATTTTTCTTGTTTTGGGACTTAAGGTATAGTGTTTCCTATGTGTCTTACACCAACAGCCAGCCCAGAGATTCCCTTATGTTAAGGGATACTTCATTCCCTAGTAACCCCATTGAAGAAAATCTGTCATCTTGAGCCCTCCATCAGATAATACCATATGGTGCTGCCTTTCAGGGAGTGGTCAATTATGGATCCTGGGGCATTAATAAGTACTGTTCACAGGGAGCTATCAAAGAAAAGGCCAATGTAGGGCAGTTTAAGCATTAAAAAGAATGCGTATCACTGATGAAAATATATGAATATATTAAAAACCATAGGGTAATTATGAAATTAAAAGAATGAGATCTCTTTCCCTGAATAAAAACAAAAACAAAAACAATAGTTTGTTTGGCTTTGGAGGTAACAAAGGTACTTGATGTTGACTAAGTTGATGTAAAATTGCCAGTTGGAAGGAATGATTTAGCTGGATGTGGTTGTGTATACCTGTAATTCTAGCACTTGGGAAGGCTGAGTCAGAAGGATCTTGAGTTCAAGGCCAGGCTGGGCTACATAGTGAGTTTTAGGACATCCTGGGCTGCAAAGTAAGACCCTGTGTCAACAAAACAAAACAAAACATTTATCCTGCTTTTACTGTTTTAACTATAATTCAGGGTAACCAAATAGTCCTAGTTGCTGTGGGTGAATTCTTTAGAGAATTCCAGCTAATGTGGCAGAATGGCAGGATATTTTGCAAGTCCTAATGAAATAATTGACTCAGGCAAAAATCATCAGATGGAAGGGGAACTTCACACTGAAGGGTCAGGCTTTTATAAGCTCAGGACATTCACTGGTCAATTGCAGAAGGTACCTCCTCAGTATTATGGAAGGAATTATTATTAATTTTGTATGACATTGTAGTTATGAAATAGTGTTAGGCTTACAAAAATGTCATAAAAAGTGTTCTCAAATACCCTTCACTTACCATCCATCATTCCTTTAAACTGTGGAATCATGTTATACTTACCCTATGTGCAATTATTGAAACCAGGAACTTAGCATTCATACAATACTGATCTTTAGACTTATTAAAATTTCTTGAATTGTTTCTTTTAATGGCCCAGGATCCAGTCCAGGATCCCACATTGTATTTAGTTGTCAGAACTTTGTCTCCTCCAACCTAGGATAGCTTTTGCCTCAACCTATGTCTTTCATGACCTTGGTAGTTTTGAAGGGTACTGGATAGTTATTTTACAAACTATCCCTAGATTTGGATTTACTTGATGTTTTCTCATGACTATATAGAGGTTTTGCATATTGTGGTAGATTGCTACCAGAGTGATGGTGTGTTCTCAGTGTAGTATGTCAGGAGAGGCATGATGTTGGTAAGTCTTTTATGAGAGGTCCATATATATAAGAAATACTTACTGAAGTATATAGACGTGAGGTGATATCATGTCTGGGATTTGTTTTAAAATAAGTTAACCAAAAGGGGAAGGGGAGTTAGTAATTGATGAAATAAGAGTGAGTGATAATTTTTTTTTGTTTTTGCCATGCTGGGGATCAAATCAAGGACCTTGCAGATACTAGGCAAGCACTCTATCATCGAGCTACATCATTATCCCCTAGAGTAACAGTAACTTGATAATTCTAGAATCTGTATGATGGGTATATGTGGGCTTATTATATAATTCTCTGCACTTTTGTATGTTTGATATTTTTCATAATAAAAATTCATACTCCCTTCATGAAGTATGCTCTTAATTGTTTACAGGAAATTTGACACAAGAATGTAGGCTTCCTACATTTGTTTTCATTTTAATGATTACATGATAGGTTTAATGTAATGACATGACAACTTTGATGCTTATGATGACATTTTTGATGACAGTGTTTTTCTTTTCTCTTTCTAGCTATAAGTATTGCATTTCTTGTTGGTCTAGCACTCATCATTGCTATATCCTTCTTAAGGCTTTTGCTGAGGTAAGTTGTTTGGGAGGACATGATTGGGGAACATATAACACAGAAATAATATATTTAGAGAGGGTAGTTTGACCCACCATGTGACCATTATTCCATCCTCGTGTAGTAGCCCAAAACAAAGATGACCATTTTTCTTTGATTAAATGAAAATCTATGTATGTACCATGTCTGTTCTAGACCTAGGTGTTAGAGAATCAATGTAGACTATAAGACATGGTCTCTGACTTTAGAGAAATAATAATGAAAGTTCTGATGGATATTTGCCTTTCCCCTTCCCATGGCTGAAAATGAAGAAAATGCTTGACATATAATTACTTCCTAAAGAGTCTTCTATCCTGTGTTTTAGTGAGTAGAAGTGACTTATAGTAATTTTAGGAGTCTAGTTGCCACACTAGACTTCTGCCTCTGAGGTCTGAGGCTGCTTTTCTAGTTTAGCTTGCCTTGTGTCCTGCAACCTCAGGAGTCTGGGGGCCAAAGCAGAAGATGAGGAGCCATAGCCCAGGACCTCAGTATGGACTCCCTTTCCTTTGGACAGAGGTAGCTGACTTACGGAGTTTGCCCTCTTCTCCCTTGTTGAGAGTGATTTTGGGGAGTATATTAGTGAAGTAGAAAAGAAAAAGGAAAGTAAAATAGATCCAGGCCTGTTTTAATCAACTTTTGCAGGAAAAGTTCTATCCTTTTTTTTTTTTTAAAAGGAATAAGTGCTGGCAGTGGTGGTGCATGTATATGATCCTAACACTCCAAAGGCTGAGGCAGGAGGATCATAAATTCAAGCCAGCCGGGGACACATGGTGAGACCGTGTCTCAAAAAAAAAAGGAATAAGATTGATTGAATATTCATGTGTTTATCCTGTTAGGTTTCCAGGAAGTATCACAAAATTTTATTGGTAAAGCTGGGCATGGAGGCTCACATCTAATCCTAGCCAGTTGGGAAGTGGACATCCATCAGAGGATTGCAGGCCAGCCCTAGCAAAAACTTCATGAGACCCCATTTCAGCTAATAAAAACTTGGGTATGGTATATGCCAGTCATCCCAGCTACATGAGAAGCATTAATAGGAGGATCATGGTCCGGGCTGATCTGGGCACAAATGTGAGACCCCATTTGAAAAATACCTACAGTAAAAAGAGATATAGGCATGGCTTACATGGTAGAGCATCTGCCCGACAAGCACAAGGCCCTGAGTATAAACCCCAGTAACCACAAAACAAAACAAGGAGAACAACTATATCCAGATTGGGAGAATGAAAACCTAACATCTGAAAAAACTAACTTGGGGATACCTTGAAACATTGGTGGGTATTATACATTTTGCCTTTCTAACTTTGTGGATCTTAGAAACAGTTTATTACATGTGTGAGAAGCCTGACTATATAAAAATACCACTTGCTGTTTAGAAAGAGGTGTTTAACTCAATTGCTTTTTAGGAGCAGAGTAGAATTCTAATAGTCTTATTTCTTTGGATTAAGGTATTTCAACCTTTTGATAAAATAAAAATACTATTCCATTGTATTAATGTACTTTAAGTCAGTGCTTTTCATGTGAATGAATCTGTTCCATCTTTTTTTGCAGTAATTGATAGCTGAGATCAAGCACTTACAAAGAGGAAAAATTCCATCTCACCCCTCTATAGAATTGAAAGTCTTTGCATGTGATTCTGTCTCTCCTGCTTGTGGGCAGAATGCTATTGTTGGCAAAGCCACAGTTCTTATTTCTTGCCTCATTGCTTTCCCACATACCTACGGAAGTCCAGGGAAGTTTGTGTTAGTCTGAACCAGAAGTAATATTACAAACATGTACAAGAGAATTGTTTTAAAAATTTTAATATCTCAACTTCTCCTTTTTGCCCTTCCTTAAATGTGTCTATTTTTAATATTTGTTGTGTGATATTACATTAGAAACGCTAAACAAACTAGAAGTGAAAGTTGTGCTGCGAGGGAAAGGAGGAATCACAAATGGAAACAATGGCTATATGGGCTACATCTAAACACTAATTTGAACAATTGAATTATAAAAATTTATGAGACGGCAACTGGACTGGCTATGTGGTGACATTAAGGAATTACTACTATTATTTAAAATGTGATGGTGGTATGATTATGTTTAGAAGTGAAAATATTCCTTATCCTTTTAAAGCTATATACTGATGTATTTATGGATGAAATGAAATGACACAATGCCTGAGATTTTCTATAAAGTTTTTATAAATTTTTATAAAGATTTTCTATAAATACAGGGCAGGAATGAGAGGCAGGGGTTGGGAATACAGATAAAGTAAGATAAGCTGCATGTGGATATTTGTTGAAGCTTAATGATGGTTCATTATACTAGTTTTTCTTCTGTACATGCTTGAGATTTTTCATGACAAAAAGAAAAATTCTGTACATTAGAGAATTCAAATGTGACAAAGTTAATGCAAAATATATGGGTGATTTTGTTTTTAACCAGGCTGTAGCAGTATTCTTTTTTTTTGCCTTTTGGTACTGGGTATTAAACTCACTTCGGTATATATATATATACCATATACATGTATATATATATGTATATATATATATATATATGTATATATATATATATATATACACCATATATGTATACATATATATACATATATATATATATATGTATTTGGTGGAACTGGGGCTTGAACTTAACAACTTCATTCTTGCAAAAAACAGGCACTCTACCACTGATCCACACCTTTAGTACATTAGCTGTGGTTATTTTGGAGATGGGGTCTCACAAAGTATTTGCCCAGGCTGGCCTCTAACTGTGATCTCCTGATCTCAGCCTCCCAAGTGGCTAAGATTACAGGCATGAGCCACTGATGCCCAGCATTTGAGTTACATTTTTTGAAACATTTTTCCCAAGTAGAAATCTCATTTTAAAGAAGAACCAGTTAATATATTTTCCTTTTTTTTTTTTGGCACTGGAGTTTGAACTCATGGCCTCATGCTTTGTAGGCAGCTGTGCTACCCCTTGAGCCACTCTGCCAGCCCTATATTCATGTAAATCAATGTAATGTCACTGGATAACTTCATGTGTGTACTGGAGTTTTGAACTCAGGGCTTTGCACTTGCTAGGCAGGCACTCTGCCACTTTAGCCTCCAGCCATGAATATCTTTTTGAATTAGATCAACTGTACTAAAAATAGACTCAATACATTAACCACTATTACAGAATATTTTCAGCTTTCTCAGTGTGCATATATGTACTTTTATTTGATTGCAATCGAACGTAGTTTTGGGATTTTGTTTTTTTGTATATAGTAGCCTATCTTCAGATTTCTTTGTGTGGACAGAGCTCACACAGCTGTCATATCCTTAAGGAATCATTTTTTATTGAGTAAATTTGGTTGTTGGCAATGTTTTGTAATTTTAATTTTAATTATATGATCAATAGGAATCCTGACACAGAACAGTTATCTCATGTAATCTTTACAACTCTTCATTAAAGGCTTTATCATAATTTCTGATTAATTGATGAGGAAATTATGTTGTGAGGGTCAAGAACTTATAAGTGTAGCTGTTCTAAACTTTGATTTCTATTTTTATGATGTTAAAAAACATACAGAATATTCAATTCTTTAATAAAGAATATGAGCCTTAAATTAAGTTTATTTACATCTGATATACAATCATTTTGAAATTCAAACAAAGAAAATTAATTAACTGGGGCTTTTCTTTATTTATAGTTTGTATGGCTTTAATAGTTGGATTTCTAAGGCAATAAATTCTCAAGAAACTGATCGCCTCATCAATTCTGTGAGTTATTAGAATGCATCATATATTTTCTGGGTAGTTTTCTAAATTTGGAATTTACAATTTCCTACTTAGTAATCATTGTTGTCCTTTTTAATAAATCATAGTTATATTGTAGAAGGCCAGATTGTGGGTCCTGATTTTTTTTTTTAAGACAGAGTTTTGCTATGTACCTCAGGCTGGCCTCAAGCTAGCAATCCTTCTTAGTATCCTGAGTGCTGGGATCTTTGTACCCACCAGGCCTGGTTTATATTTTTAATAAAGAACAGCCTTGTCCTCAAGTCCTGGGAAGGCTCCATCTCCCTTTCTTTCTTCAGTGAGGTTGGAAGTCTGGGCTGCATTAGAATGTACAATTTGAGACGTTTTTTATGCTGTTCAATCAATCTAGTTAACAGTAAAATATCAAGATGAAAACATGAATCAGGGACATCAATATTACATCTGTAAATGCTGATGGCTCACTTAAATTTGTGCTAATAAACTATCAGCATGTTTACTTCTTTGCTTGTACTAGATGTATTTAGGAATAAGTTCTTTGTGCTGTTATCACCATGGCCACCAGCAAGCTCAGCAAAAGGCACAAAAAGCAAATAAAGTAGAAAACCAAGCCTCTAGATGGGATCTTTACAAAAGCAAATTATTGTCCAGAAAAACTATTTTTAGCTTCCCACTCTGATTTCTTTCCTAAAATGTCAAATAATGAAATTTATTCTTTAGCATTATTAAGTGGCATCTCTTTCTTCTTTTTCTTTTTGAAAGGAACTGGGATCCCTAAGCAGAGCAGACCCTCTCAGTGCTGATTACCAACCAGAAACACAACACCTGTCTGCCTCACTGCACCGCCTTCGCTCCGTGGACACATTCAGGGGGTATGTGGTGCTTCTTTGTAACATGGTAGGCATAGATTCTTGTTGCATTATGTATTTTACATATCTTCCACTTTGTAAATTAGGAAGGATTTCTTGGATATGAAAATAAAGTCAGCAGCCTCTCTTTACTTGAAAATTGTCATGGTAAGGGGATGGGGTATAGCTCCATGGTAGTGTGCTTAACTAGCATGCACTAGCCCCTGAGAAGAAAAAAGCAAACAAAAAACATAAGAAAATTGTCATGATATCCAGTATAATATGTTTAGGGAGAGGAGTGGTGGGACAGAACCAGTTTCCACTAGTGTGTATGGTCTACTGAGCTAAGGCTATTTGCATTTGGCAAGTGGCTAGACTTGGGGCCACAAACTGTGCCACAACATCCACTCAGTAGCTGGACAACTTAGAAGATGCAGCAGTCTACACAGGAAATACCAGCTTGTGGAAAAGAAAATGCATATCCATCATGACTAAAAGAACAGCATGAATATCAGACACTTGATAGCAGATCCACAGTCATGTCATAAGTTAGTTGTTACTGTCTTTGGGTCTGATGGAAGAATGAAAATCAGGACCAAACTCTGAAAATACAGTGTAAGACTATATAGCTAAAAGGAAATATATAGGTGTCAGGTCTACCATTTCCACCCACTAAGGGCTTCAAAACTCCAGTGATGACCTTATAATTCCTTTCTGTCCTCCTCAGAGCCCTGAGTGCTCCTGGTAAGTATATTTGAAGCTAGGTTATACTGGTAGAGTTGCTCTTTATCCAAAATTCTTGGAACCAGAAGTGTTTCAAAGTTTGGATTTTTTTTCAGATTTGAGAATATTTGCATACACATAGTAAAACATCTTGGGGATGGGACACAAGATTTAACACAAATTCATTTTGGTTTTTATGTACATCTTGCATGAATAGTCTGAAGGTAATTTTAAACAATATTTTTAGCATGCTTTTGTTGTTGTTATTTGTTCATTTGGCATTTTTTTTTGCTGGAGGTTGAACCTTTTACAACAGTTCTTTAACTTGAGACATCTAAATAATTAGCACAAAATGGAGTTACTTGGAAATACTGTTTACAAGGTATGTAGTTTAGTAATGCTGTGCAAAGTTTTCTTACGATATCATGTTGGAAATGTTGGCACAGAACTTTAGCATATGGTCACAATTGCAGTGATTAGTAGATAATAATACCTTGTTCTTAAATCTTTTCTTGTGTCATAAACTGTGCTGCAGAATCACGTTATAGTGTGATTTACCTTGTGAGTGTAATGTATGACTTGCAATACAGCCGTTCCTTATCACATTGCAAACTCAAAGAATTCTCTTTATTGGCCTTCCAGGATAGCTCTCATCCTCATGGTCTTTGTTAATTATGGAGGAGGAAAATATTGGTACTTCAAACATTCAAGTTGGAATGGTAAGCTATTTCCTAAAGCTAGCATTGCTCATAGTTCCATTTAGAGAACTGCATATCAAGAGGCTCACTCAACACTCCCTCTAGAAGCTCCATGGCTTTGGTCATCCTCTTCTAGCCACTGAGTCCCTGCCCCCATGGAATGACCTTTAGCCCATTTTGTGAGCCCTTTAGTTTAGTTCTTCCTCTTGTATGCTGTGGATCTATAATGTGTACATGTAGAGTGCTTCACTATAATAACATGAGACTCTGAGGAGTTCTATGAGATTGTGGGATTCAACAGAAGATGTAAAGAATTTGGTTTTAAATGATCCTTGTTATTGTGTGCATATGAACGTCACCATATTTCTTGCAGATTCTGTGTTCTGAAACTTACAGACATTCTTGGGATGCCATAGAACTGGGATTGGGCTGAATAGTGCTGAATAATAGCTATAAATCTTGCTTGGTAGTTGGTTTAAGAGTAGATTTTGTAGGATTCAGAAGAATCATGTTGAATACTTAAATGTTAACAGACCATTAGAAATTCTAGTAGTATTTTGCTCTGGTCAGATCATATCTGTAGAGGACTGGGGAAGGCTTCAGAAAAGGGGCTGTCTGTGATTGTGTTTCACCACTGGTGTCCAGCTCTATGTATTGATTACTGGTGAGGAGTTATGTTGTGGGTTTGCAGATAAGGAAGCTTCACTATTCAGACCTTGAGTCCAGATGTTTACACCTGACCACTATGTTTAAGTGTTTATTTAAAACAAAAGTGATAGTAGGTATAGGTAAGAACTTTCTCAATGAAACCCCAGCAGCACAGCAACTAAGAGATAGCATAGATAAATGGGACCTCATAAAACTAAAAAGCTTCTGTTCATCAAAAGAAATGGTCTCTAAACTGAAGAGAACACCCACAGAGTGGGAGAAAATATTTGCCAATTATACATCAGACAAAGGACTGATAACCAGAATATACAGGGAACTTAAAAAACTAAATTCTCCCAAAACTAATGAACCAATAAAGAAATGGGCACGTGAACTAAACAGAACTTTCTCAAAAGAAGAAATTCAAATGGCCAGAAAACACATGAAAAAATGCTCACCATCTCTAGCAATAAAGGAAATGCAAATTAAAACCACACTGAGATTCCACCTCACCCCTGTTAGAATAGCCATCATCAGCAACACCACCAACAACAGGTGTTGGCGAGGATGCGGGGAAAAAGGAACCCTCTTACACTGTTGGTGGGAATGTAGACTAGTACAACCACTCTGGAAAAAAATTTGGAGGCTACTTAAAAAGCCTGGACATCGATCTACCATTTGATCCAGCAATACCACTCTTGGGGATATACCCAAAAGACTGTTACTCCAGAGGCACCTGCACATCCATGTTTATTGCGGCACTATTCACAATAGCCAAGTTATGGAAACAGCCAAGATGCCCCACCACTGACGAATGGATTAAGAAAATGTGGTATCTATACACAATGGAATTTTATGCAGCCATGAAGAAGAACGAAATGTTATCATTCGCTGGTAAATGGATGGAATTGGAGAACATCATTCTGAGTGAGGTTAGCCTGGCCCAAAAGACCAAAAATCGTATGTTCTCCCTCATATGTGGACATTAGATCAAGGGCAAACACAACAAAGGGATTGGACTATGAGCACATGATAAAAGCGAGAGCACACAAGGGAGGGGTGAGGATAGGTAAGACACCTAAAAAACTAGCTAGCATTTGTTGCCCTTAATGCAGAGAAACTAAAGCAGATACCTTAAAGCAACTGAGGCCAATAGGAAAAGGGGAACAGGTACTAGAGAAAAGGTTAGATCAAAAAGAATTAACCTAGAAGGTAACACCCACGCACAGGAAATCAATGTGAGTCAATGCCCTGTATAGCTATCCTTATCTCAACCAGCAAAACCCCTTGTTCCTTCCTATTATTGCTTATACTCTCTCTGCAACAAAATTAGAGATAAGGGCAAAATAGTTTCTGCTGGGTATTGAGGGGTGGGAGTGGGAGGGGGTGGTGGAGTGGGTGGTAAGGGAGGGGGTGGGAGCAGGGGGGAGAAATGAACCAAGCCTTTTATGCACATATGAATAATAAAAGAAAAATGAAAAAAAAATAAAACAAAAGTGATGTATGCTATTTGTATGAAAACACTAGCTTCTCTTTTGCACAGGCAAATATGTTCTATGGTAGACATTCTGCTGCAAAAATAATGAGGATGTGGAGTGCCTGGATAGGGGAGAATAGATTTTTAAATAGCAGTGCTAAGAAAAACCTGTCTGTCCATATATTTTTATTTTGGCTTTCCCAAATGTAGTTATGGTCAGAAACTGCCCCAGGCCAGTGACTGGTTATAGTCTAAAGGGAGTTGTATTTTCTATATGAATATATAATGTTCCATTTTGGATTTGGGAAGTACTTATATTCTAGAATCCTCTTTCTTATTGTTTGTACATGTTTATTCTGCAGGACTAACAGTGGCTGACCTTGTATTTCCGTGGTGAGTTGGCAACCTATCATAAATTCTTCCACAGGTCATCTGCAGTTCTTTGTCTTTGAAATGATGCTGGAGCCCCTCTCTAAAACCAGCCTTGAGCTTGAACCACAGACTGTTGCTGTTATGATGTTCTTCCAAAAAGTTATATTGATGATAGTTCTTATATATGCATGTTTATGCATATGATTTTTAAAAATTTATTTATTTATTTATTATTAGGACACATTAATTGTACTTATATATGCATCATGTTTATGCATATGATTTTTAAAAATTTATTTATTTATTTATTATTAGGACACATTAATTGTACAAGGGGGTCTCATTATGTTACCCATAGGTGTGTATAATATACTTTAAGCAAGTTCATACCCTCTATCAAGCTCCCTTAACTTCCCTCCCCTCTACCCCCTTTTTTCAAACAATAGTG